ATATATATATATATATAATCTCCAAATGTCATTGGTCGGTTAATCAGCCCAGCCGGCAGACCGAAGGACAGCACCAAAACATACACATGGTGTTCAAGCACACGATGACATCTACAGAGGCTTCACGGAACAACAGACCAAGCACACTTTGTTTCTCAGACAGCTTCACCAAATACCTCCTAATATCCTGAGGAAAAAGTTCAATGGCAACGCAAAGGAAGGGAGAAAAAAACCCCCCATAATTCTTAAAAAATAAAAATAAATCTATGCTTTGGCCTTCTAGGAATCTCACAGCGAAAGGACTAAGGCCGCTGTAGGAACAGGGATGAAAAATATTCAATTAATTCTATTTAAATATTAATTTAATTTAAATGTTATATCTAGCTACTTACCTATCTATCTACCTACCTACTTCGCTCCCTACCTACATCTATGTACCGCTTCCCCGAAAATAAGACCTACCTTGAAAGTAAGTCCTAGACTGATTTTTACACATGCACCCAATATAAGCCCTACCCTCCAAATAAGCCCTAATTAAGACCCCGCCCACTCCAGAGTGCACAAGTAAAAATTAAACTAGGGTAGGGATGGGGGCATGGAGCAGCCCTGCTAGTTACCTTTGGACACTTGTAGCCAGACCTCACGTACCCTGACATCTGCTTTGCCAGCCCTGCCGGCAAGGCTTTCCTGAAGGTCTCTGGATGAATCCAGAGCTCTATTATCAGCTGCAGAGGCCTTCAGGAAAACCTTGGCAGCTGCAATAGTTCCTGAAGGCCTCTGATAGCGAAAAGGAAGACGGAGGTGACAACCTCAAGTGAGTGGATGGTAGCCCCCAAAAATAAGACCTGGTGTCTTTTTTTGGTGGCAAAAAAAATATAAGACAGGGTCTTATTTTGGGGAAAATACAGTATCTACCGACCTACCGACCTACCTACCATCCATCCACTCACCTACATCTAATCGAATCTGATCTGATCAAATATATTTATTTAAACATTTATTTGGCTAGTGTAGAGAAAAGAAGGATTAGAATGACATGATAGCACTCTTCCAATAGTTGAGGGACTGCCAAAAAGAGGAGAGGGTCAACCTAATCTCCGAAGCACCTGAAGGTAGAACAAGAAGCACCGGATGGAAACTATTGAAGGAGAGAAGCAACCTGGAATTAATGGGAAATTTCCTGACAGGGAGAACGATTAATCAACGGAACGATTTGCCTCCAGGAGTTGTGGATGCTGCAATATTGGAGATTTTTAAAAAGCCCTTTGTCTGAAATTATATATGGCTGTGATAGCGAACCTATGGCACGCATGCAGGAAGTGGCACGCAGAGCCGCCACTTGGAACTGATCGCATGCGTGCGTGCCCCCACCAGCCAGCTGACTGTCGGGTATCAGTCGCGTATGCGTGGGGGGGAGATGTGCACATGGGAGATGCATGCGCAGGGGGGGTGGGGCATGCATGGGGGGGGTCGCGTGTGCATGCACAGTGAGGTGTGTGGTTGCATGCATGCACGTATTGCATTATGGGTGCAGGCATGCGTGCGCACACACACTTTCGGCACACGACGACAAAAAGGTTAGCCATCACTGGTACTTGGGTCTCTACTTGAGCAGCGGACTGAACTAGACCTCTAAGGTCTCCTCCAGCTCAACTCTAATTTTAATTCTTCGCTTAGACCATTTCTGGGCATTTTATGACTTTTTGGCTGTCCCTGTCCAGTCAGTATGGATTGTTTTTATTTTGATGAAAGATAACGTAAATGTTTCCTTATCAGTCATGCCTGATTCTAAGGGACGGTAGTCATCTCTGTTTTTTGGCCGAGGGAACCAAGACACTTCCATGGTCATGTGGCCATCACGGCTACAGGCCAAAGGCACATGCAATGCTATTACCTTCCCACTAAGTGGCATCTATAAATGGTACCTATTTATCTATCTATAAGTGGTACCTATTTATCTACTCACACTTGCATCAGAGGTGGGTATTCAGCAGGTTCTGACTGGTTTTGGAGAACCGGTAGAGGAAATTTTGAGTAGTTTGGAGAACCAGCAAAATTCATCTCTGGCTGGCCCCGCCGCCACCTATTATCTGCCTCCCATTGAGTCCCAGCTGATTGGCTGGGCCTTCTTTGGTTGCCCAGCACAGGAGAAGGGAGCTGGAAAGCAGGTTAGTGGGGCGGGAAGGCAATAGGGATTTTACAGTATCCTTCCCCTGCATCGCCTACCAAGCCATGCCCACAGAACCAGTAATAAAAAAAACTGAATCCCACCACTGACTTGCATACTTTTCAAGTGCTAGGTGGGTAGGAGCTGGAGCAAATAATGGGCACTTACTCTATCTTGTGGAACTCAGGGTCTCAAACCTGGACTGTGAGCTCTCCAGCTGACAAGCTCAGTGTCTTTAACCACTAAGCCATCGTGCCTCCTTTCTATTTTGAAATGACTATTTTCCCCCCAATTTACGTATGTACCTACGTGCATACCTATGTACTTTAAACAGCTTTATTGGTTCAGCCCTCCACAACAGTTTCTCACACGGCTCCTTGGGAAAAGTAATTTGCCCACTCTCGCCGTAGACAAATTTCCCCGCAATCCAGCCATCTACAGAAGATCAGATTTCAACTCCTACCAGTGTCTCTAGAACATAGCAAGGAACTGCGGAAGTCCCAAAAATCAGCTATGGACCTACTGGTCTATCTTTGGTTCTATCTGCCATTTCTGGAATGGTGAGATCTGCCATCCCAAAACATGTGGAAATCCACTTGGGAGGCCAAGCTGCCTTGCCGATGAAGCACAACGGCTTATAGTTTGGGACATTGGAAGGGACCTCGAGACCCTAAATAATTTCAGACAAATGGCTATCCACTCTCTTTTTAAAAGCCTCCAGCGATGGAGCACGTACAACTTTTGATGTCCAGTCCTTCCATTGGTTGATTGCTCTCACTGTTAGGAAATATCTCCTTAGTTCTCGGTTGGTTCTCTCCTTGATTAGCTTCCAACTATTGTTACTTGTCCTGCCTTCTGGTGCTTTGGACGATGGGTCGACCCCTTCTTCTTTGGGGCAGCCCCTCAAATGTTGGAAGACTGCTATCACGTCACCCCTCATCCTTGTTTTCACTACAATAGACATACCCAGTTCCTGTAACCGTTCTTCCTATGTTTTAGCCCCTAGTGCCCTAATTATTTTAGGGGGGTCAAAGAAGATATTTTATTGGTGGGAGTCTACCTAGAAGTTTCAACTCTAGGTAGTAGGGACTTAAATTTGCTCTCCTAGCTTCTGACAACAATCCTAGATATGGGCACCCTTGGATCTCTATGTTATTCTTCATGGAAGGTAACATTATTAGACAAGATATTACTCAATAGAAGAGAATATTTGTACCTCAAGGCTGTGGCACATGATGTTCCCAAGTTTAGTAATGAAACATCTGCAAAAAAAAAAAAAAGCCGCCAAGCTCAGAGAGCACCAAGGACCCCACAGATAGGGCATTCCCAGGGGTAAAGCTTTTCCACTGGTCTGGAGGTTGAGCTTATAGGTTGCCAGTAGAGCAGTGTTTCTTTAGACCAGTGCTTCTCAACCCTAGAGTCTTTGAGAGGACTTCAACTCCCAGAAT